TGAAAAGACAAAATTGGAAACCATACATAAAATAGTGAAAACAGATTCAAGCCAGTTTTGTTACTCATTTCAGTGAAATAACTCAGATACAACTGACGAAAATATTGCATATTTGAGTGACGTTTCTTACATACCAGGATTCACACGTTAAAATGTAAGATCTCGTTAATTTTTAGTTTGCACAATTACCTTTTCACTGAGTGGTATCATTCGCGTGGGGGTGCAGAACTTTCAAGCAGAAAATGACTGATATAACAAATTGCCAACAACATATATGAAGCAAAAACTAGCCATTGAAATAATTCAAAGAGAAAAAATTTCAGAGTGAAAGATTAATTTTTCAATGAAAGTATGGATAACTTCAAAACTATGAGAATTGGAGAGTTGAATGAAGACAAAGTTCTTCAAGCTTTGTGAACAAGTGGAAACAATTCACGATATCAGGACCAGGTTAGGAAATATGGGGCAGAAAGCAAATTCGTGTTTTATGATGCTGTTTGAAAAAATATTGGAAAATGTTCCGATATTTCGTATTCTCTATACCATTATTAAGTTCTTTTTCTAAATACTGGTATGTATATTTTATTGAACATTTTCAACCACCTTTTTTTCTGAATACAGTGACATCATGAAATTTATCCCATGAACATTTTTATTCCGCATATTTTAAAGAAATGTCTGTTATCCGCTAGAAAATGATGGACTGTATCACAATGCCGTTTCCAATTTCCTATCAACTACAGTATTTTTGTCTCATTCAACCAATATATCTATATCTCTACCCAGAATTCAAATGACAGAAGTGAGGTTTCAGTAGTTTATTGTCTTTCTGAAGGTGGTTACACCATTTGTTTCTATCAGTGCCTTTTTTTTTTTAATTTTTAGTTTTCAAGTAATGAGGAAGGGTCTTTAATAATTTAAATGAGAGCCAATGAATAACAGTAATAATGCAAATGATAATAGTCTGGAAGTAATTTTTCAACAGTTTGGCTTCTTCCTGATACAATTGTAATTAATAGAAGACTGGTATAGTCGAAGTGAACGATATTGTGCACTCTTAAAGTTGGTGGCATTCTCAAAGGCTAAAAAAAAAGCAATACATAGAAATGAACCGGCAGCAAACTAATCGACGTGGACTGTTGACTTGGCGGTTCGTATTAGATAATTTTTAGTATGATGATTGGCTGAAGAGTCATTAAATTAAATTTGAAGTCATGTTACGGTGACGAATAGTAATTGGGAAATGGGGTGATGATTATCGCCGTCGTGTTCAAATTACTTGAAATGTTTGTTATCTGTTTAAAATGTGGCGTCCTTGGACAAATACTAATAGTAATAACGAGTCTGAAAACAGCGCAGACTTTTTCCAGTGTAGTGATTCCAACGGCGATGGTGAACAATGCAAAAAAGAGATACCAGTAAATGAGATTCGGATACATTCGAATATTGAAACACAAAGAGTATGTTTCAATGTATATAAGAATCTAGAGAAAACAAACTATTACAAGCAACATCAGATTTGACCGAAATTCCTTTCTCAACAGTAGGTGAAATAGTCAAAAACAAACCTTATGAACGAAAGACGAGATGCGATACAGGATTACCAAAACCTTTTGATGTTCATCTAATAAAATCTTTAATATACGACTGTTACAAAAGCAATAAGATTCCTACAACTGAAATCATAAGGAAGAAATTGAATACTTCCGGCCATAACGTGTGCTGCTGTGACAAAACTCTTCAGAATTGGATAAAGAAACTAGGAGTTAGATTTGAAACGATGAACAAACGTCAAGCAGTCATGGAAAGCAGAAGAAGAGTGGAATTGCGTAACAAATACTTAGAACAAATAACTAACTATAATCAAGAACAACGGCAAAGTTTTTATTTGGACGAAACTTGGTATGACACTCACGAAACATTTACGAAAGGGTGGACTGATTGTTCGAAAAAGTGTACGCCTAACATGCCTGCAAATAAAGGATCGCAACTTATCATTGTGCATTGCGAAAGAAGTAAGGGATGGGTTGAGGAATGCAATGCTGACTATCATAAGAACATGGAAGCTAATATTTTCGACGAATGGTTTGTGTAATAGTTTTTGACAACGCTTCCTATCATTCGCGACAGCTCAAAGTACCGAATAAAAATTCGAGAAAAAATGAAATACAAAGTTTTTCAATGGATAACAATTTGTATTTTGAAGATTACTATACCAAAAACCAACTACTGGAAGTTTCGCAGAAAAAAACATTCGGAAAAGTGTATGACTTCCAGAATATTGCTGAAAAGTACAGACACACCATACTGAGACATCCCCCCCTATTTTTGTGTTTTCAATCCCATCTAGTCGATTTGGGGAAAATTTAAAGAAAGCTTCAGGCGTGAAAATGATTTTTCAAACTTTGATAAGAAGGTGATAAAGCTAATTAAAGAAGTATCCAATATTACCGAAGAAGACTGGCAGAAAAAGATTAAAAAAGTAATTTTAGTTGAAAAAGACTGAATGGAGATTGGACACTTTCATATTAATGGTGAAAATAAATTCATTATTGATTTAAATGAAGACAGTGATAGTGAATCAGGTAGGTTTCACTATATCGCTTACTTGAACTATACCAATGAAAACAAAATTGAATGACCGTTTGCACGCAATTTAATCCCATTGGCAACTCATTCGAATTTCCCCATGGAAGAGAATATTCAGGACTGATTGGAGGTCCTAAATAAATTTGCTAAAACGGTACCTTGTACACTCAGTCAGTCAAATACTCACCTTTGTACACCGGTTTCTGGAGATTCTGAAAAAGCAATTCTAATTCTAACATGCATACTATCTAGTTTGGGCATATTTATACGCGATTCACTATAAGCGTTACCTACACGACATAGGAGTTATACCTCTTTACGTGTGTCTATTCGAGAAGCCATGCTGTGGGATGACATCGCAATAGGTTCGGTCAACACGGATGAAGTGTTACCTTGTGCTCTACTCTCTTCTATTTGACCAAATTGGTACGTTCTTCTAGGGAGAGATACAACTTCTAAATCTGTTATCGGTGAAAGTTTTTCTTCTGACTTGATACTGGAAGATAATTCTCCAGGTTTCATTCCCTCGTATTGAGATAAAACCAACTTCCTTGGCAGCGACATCTCTTCTTCGATAGACAGTAATTCAGGTATGTCAGAGCAAGTTGTTACAAGATCCGATACCCGATGGCTTCTCTCGTGAATTGACTCAAGAGATCGCCTTTGTTTGGGTGATGTGGGTGACAAGGACTTGAATCGACCATTTGCGTCTGAGCTTACATCGTGATCTGAAGGAGAACTGGGAAGAGCTATTGATTCCGAGAGACTGGAATCAGTTGTGTCTATGAGTGATATCTCTGTTTCATTTCTTAAAGCCGACGCTACTCTCCGTATATTTTCATATGGTTGCCTATAAATTACTTCTATGGAACCTGTATGATTCTGGGTTCTAGTAAACACCTCAGATGTTACCAATTTATTCGCACCATTGGCAGATCTGATTCTGATTGGACTTCCTGGGAGAGAGGTTGGGCTAGTGCTTTCGCGACCTCCTTCACTGAGTTCGTGATATGTGGAAGGGGTAACACTCTGACTTCGAACTCTATCAGCAAATTGGACGGTTTTATCAAAGGACGGTTTGTCATGAGAATATTTCTTGATATGTTCAGTAACAACAGTACGACGTAGCTTTGTTGGGGATGGACTCGGTTTGGGACTTCCGATTCTGGGATAGATATCCCCCTTGTGGAATTTATTATCTGCCTCCAATATTTCTCCAGACTTGTGAACTTTCTCAATTTTAATGAGCTTATTGGAATCTATAGCTTTCACATTTTTTCTTTCTTTCTCGGGTGAACTCAAAAAATGGTGCTGTTTCTTGATCTCTTCTAGTTTGGGTTTAGTGTGAGTAGATTTTATCGGAGACTTGTGCATGACAGTTGTTTTGCTTTGGATTCGATGTTGTGATTCAACTTTTTTCTGGGGTGTGCGATCAGGTTTGTCTTCTAACTTCTTTTTACTTCTAAGTTTCTCATTATAGTTATCTATTTCGCGCTTGTCCTTAGTAATGCTCAGTTTAGTATCCTTTGCTTTACTATCGACTTTCATATTTCTCGACACAGTAGACATCATATAGCGATGAAAGCGATGATCATTTTTATGACTTTCCTTTGATTGTGAAAGACTTTCTTCGGTGAAACATTTCATCTTCATCTTTTCGTATTTTTTATTGGTTTCAGTTTCAGATAATTTTTCTGGGATAATATCAACTCTCGATATATTAACATTACCTTTTCTGGCAAGTTTTGGTATATTTGACGGTATTTTTCGTCCAGAGTCAACCTTACTACGTACATTTCGGTCAGTGAATGTTCCTTTCATTACTTTTTTGACAACTACATGAGTTGAAAGTTTTTCATCATCAGAACTAATATCAGCATCATCGTAATGCTTCGGTCGTTGAAGCTGTCTGCTCAGTATCCTTTTTTTCTCTGTTTCCTCTTGACTGACTTTTCGAACTTGCCTTGAATATTTTCTGGTTAACAAATCCTTGTTTATTCTTTTCGGAGTTTCCGGTGGTTGTAGATCATGCAGAGTTACCTCTAGAACATCGTCTTTCATAGTTATTTCAGGAACAGGAATATTATAACGACGTCCAATATCTTTCTTTTCACCAGTTTTATTCTGTTGCGATTTTTCAATGATTGATAAGTGTGAGTCATTATCTGATAATATGTGATCCAGTTTCCGAGATGAATCACTCTCGGAAGATAAAGGTTCTGCGTCAGTTTCTGACAGTTTCGGTGATTCGCAATGGCTGCGAGAACTTCGAGGTTTTTTACTGATTTCATCAGTCGTTTCTACCAGTTTTTCAGATTGATGTTTATAAGAATCGCTTGTAGAATCTACTACTACTTTTAAAGGTGCCTCAAGCGGTTTAGCTACAAATTTACGTGTGGAAATGTCAATACCTTTCATTCTACTCCCATCTACATCATCACGTACTCCAACGGATTTTGTTCTGCTCACTGATGATGAGTCAGACTTGATACTGGTTGATTTGAATATCAAATCCTTATGGGATGTGAAGTTAGAAGATTTCTCTTTATGAGTAATACCTTTTTTAGGCAAGGATTTTCTGTCTGCAGACTGTTTTTCAGTTGAGGAACCAGATGAATGTGATATTATTCCATTTACTCCATTCGCTAATTGACGATCTGAGGTTTGTTTCTTTCGTACTATCTCAACCGATTTCTTAGGAGACTCAATTCTTTGAAATTGCTTCAAGGGTGGATACGATATTTCTTTGATTTTTGTCACTGATATAGTTGAACTTTTTTTTATGTCATGTTCTTCGATAATTGATTTTCGCCCTTTTGGTGCCCTTTGTTCACTCATTGTCTTGATTTTGGATGATATAGGTTTTACACCAACCATAGACGTTGATTTAGAGCTTTCTCCTGTTGTGCTTTCCATCGAAGTTTTATCTCTTGTTTGTGTATATAACTTCAGATCTCCTCTTGGAACATTGGAAAACTTTTCTAAATGTGTTTTCGGTTTTGATTTAATATCTTTTTGGCTTTTGAGTGATTTCACCGCTCTTTCCGAGATATTAGAACGCGCCTGTTCCTTGGGAATTTCCCTTTGAATTGCCAGAGTCTCCAAAGGCATATCACTTCCTTTTCTTTCAATGATCTTTTTCCCTTTTTCCGATTCTCTAGAAAATTTTGTTTGTTTCTTATTTTTGGGTGCGGCTTTTGGTATGTGATATTTCTCACTATCTCTCTCTCCGAAGATTACGATTGTTTCAGCCGTTCCTGTTACTGTTGTCAATTTCTTAGATTTTTTTGAAAGTACTTCAGGTGATTTAGGTTTTTCTTCTAATTTCTTCTCGAAAATTTCATGAGTATCAACTTCATCTGTCATTGTTATTATATCTTTCTCAACTTTGTCCGAAAGCTGCATCTTCAGAATGGGAACAATTCTGTCAGACGGTTCTTGTGATTCGGATGACGCTACACTGGATCTCCTTTCTTTCGGTACAACACCTTCAATTTGGACTTCATGCGATTCATTTTCCCTCTCATATTCCTTTTCAATAACTTCATGACTTTTCACATCTTTCCTTGATGTTGTTATGCCTCCCTCAACTTTTTCCGTAGGCTGCTCATCCAAATCAAGAACCATTTTTTCAGATGGTTTTCCTTTGTCGACTTTCTCGGGTGAGGCTTCAGAGGATTCAAATTCTTTCAGAACAATATCTTGTTCTAGAACTTCAGGTGAGTTAGGTGCTTGTTCATATTTCATCTCGAGAATTTCATTGGTATCGACTTCATCTGTTATTGTTGTTAATTCTTTCTCGACATTTTCTGTGGTCTGTTTCTCCCAATCCGGAACCATTTTTCCAGATGGTTCTTCTTTGTCAGCTTTTTCAGACGAGAATACAGCAGATTCAGTTCCTTTCGGGATAATGACTTTTTTGAAGTCTCCTGGTGATTCAGGTACCTTTTCATATTTCTCTTCGATTATTTCAGAATTTCTGACATCTTTCGTTATTGTTGCTATGACTTCTTCAACCATTTTCGTGGGCTGTTTTTCCAAATCTGGAACCAGTTTTTCAGATTGTTCTTCTTTGTCAGCTTTTTCAGGTGAAACTAGAGCATATTCAGTTTCCTTCGAAACAATATGTTTTTCGAAGACTCCAGGTGATTCAGGTTCTTTTTCATCTTTTTTCTCGATGAATTCAAAAGTTTTGACTTCTTCATTTATTGTTGTTATGACTTCAACCTTCCCCATGGGCTGTTTCTCCGAATCTAGTATTATTTTTTCGAAAGTTTCTTTCTTATCTCCTTTTTCGGGTGAGGCTACAGCAGATTTAGTTCCTTTCGGAAAAATATATTTTGACAAAAACTCAGGTGATTCAGGTTTTATTTCATCTCCTTTTACAATAACTTCCTCAACCTGTTCCGTGAGCTGTTTTTCCACATTTGGATACAGTTTTTCAGATGGTTCTTCTATGTCAGCTCTTTTAGGGGAGACTACGGCAGATTTAGTTTCTTCCGGAACAAAATGTTTTTCTACGACTTCAGGTGAAACAGGTTTCATTTCATCTTTCTTTTCAATAACTTCAGGAGTTTTGACTTCTTTTGTTATAGTTGTTATGTCTTCCTCAACCTTTGCCGAGGGCCGTTTCTCCAAATCTGGAACAAGCTTTTCAGAAGGTTTTTCTTTGTCAGCTTTTTCAGGTGAGACTACAGTAGGTTTAGATTCTTCCAGAATTATTTGTTTTTCTACAACCTCGGGTGATTCAGGTTTTATTTCATCTTTCTTTTCAATACCTTCAGGAGTTTTCACTTCTTTTGTTATTGTAGGTATGACTTTCTCAACCTTTTCCGTGATCTGTTCCTCCAAATCTAGAACAAGATTTTCAGAGGGTTCTTCTCTGTCAGCTTCTTCAGGTGAGACTACAGAAGACTTAGTTTCTTCCGGAACAATATGTTTTTCTACATCCTCAGGTGATTCAGGTTTCATTTCATCTTTCTTTTCAATAATTTCAGGAGTTTTGACTCCTTCTGTTATTATTGTAGTGACACCCTCAACCTTTTCCGTGGGCTGTTTCTTCAAATCTGGAACCAGTTTTTCACATGGTTCTTCTTTGTCAGCTTTTACAGGTGAGAGTACATTAGGTTTAGATTCTTCCGCAAAAATACGTTTTTCCACAACCTCAAGTGATTCAGGTTTTATCTCATCTTCCTTTTCCAAAACTTCAAGAGTTTTGACTTCTTTTGTTATCGTGGTAATGACTTCCCCAACCTTTTCCGTTGGCTTTTTCTTCAAATCTGTAACAAGCTTTTCAGAGAGTTCCTCTTTGTCAGCTTTCTCAGGTGAGACTACAGAAGACTCAGTTTCTTCCGGAACAATATGTTTATCTACAACCTCAGGTGATTCAGGTTTCATTTCATCTTTCTTTTCAATAACTTCAGGAGTGTCGACTTCTTTTGTTATAGTTGTTATGTCTTCCTCAACCTTTTCCGAGGGCTGTTTCTCCAAATCTGAAACAAGCTTTTCAGAGGGTTTCTCTTTGTCAGCTTTCTTAGGTGAGACTACAGGAGACTCAGTTTTTCCCGGAACAATATGATCTTCTACAACCTCAGGTGATTTAGGTTTTATTTCATCTTTCTTTTCAATGACTTCAGGAGTTTTGACTTCTTTTATTATAGTTGTTATGTCTTCCTCAACCTTTGCCGAGGGCTGTTTCTCCAAATCTGGAACAAGATTTTCAGAGGGTTCTTCTTTGTCAGCTTTTTCAGGTGAGACTACAGAAGACTTAGTTTCTTCCGGAACAATATGTTTTTCTACAACCTCAGGTGATTCAGGTTTGATTTCATCTTTCTTTTCAATAATTTCAGGAGTTTTGACTTCTTTTATTATTGTTGTAATGACTTCCTCAACCTTTTCCATGGGCTGTTTCTTCAAATCTGGAACAAGCCTTTTAGATGGTTCCTCTTTGTCAGCTTTGTCAGGAGAAAATACAGAAGACATGTGTTCTTCCAGAGCATTATGTTTTTCTACAACCTCAAGTGATACAGATTTTATTTCATCTTTCTTTTCAATAATTTCATGAGTTTTGACTTTTTTTGTTATCGTGGTCATGACTTCCTCAACCTTTTCCGTAGGGTGTTTCTCAAAATCTGGAACCATTTTATCAGATGGTTTTTCTTTGTCATCTTTTTCAGGTGAGACTACAGCAGACTTAATTTCTTTCGGAACAATATGTTTTCTGAAGACTTCAGGTGATTCGAGTTCTATTTCATCTTCCTTTTCCAAAATTTCCAGAGTTTTGACATCTTTTGTTATTGTGCTAATGACTTCCTCTACCTTTTCCGTGGGTTGTTTCTTCAAATCTGCAACCAGCTTTTCATATGGCTCTTCTCTGTCAGCTTTTACAGGTGAGACTACAGTAGGTATACATTCTTCCGGAACAATATGTCTTCCTACAACCTCAAGTGATTCAGGTTTTAGTTCATCTTTCTCTTCAATAACTTCAGGAGCTTTGACTTCTTTTGTTATTTTTGTAATGACTTCCTCAACCTTTCCCGTGGGCGGTTCTTTCAAATCTGGAACCAGCTTTTCAGATGGTTCTTCTTTGTCAGCTTTTTCAGGTGAGACTACAGAAGACTTAGTTTCTTCCGGAACAATATGTTTTTCTACAACCTCAGGTGATTCAGGTTTTATTTCGTCTTCCTTTTCGATCACTTCAGTAGTTTTGACTTCTTTTGTAATTGTTGTAATGACTTTCTCAATCTTTTCCGTGGGCTGTTTTTTCAAATCTGGAACCCGCTTTTCAGAGAGTTCTTCTTCGTCAGCTTTTTCAGGTGAGACTACAGGAGACTTAGTTGCTTCCGGAATAATATATTTTTCCACAACATCAGGTGATTCAGGTTTCATTTCATCTTTCTTTTCAATAATTTCAGGAGTTTTGACTTCTTTTGTTATTGTTGTAATGACTTCCTCAACCTTTTCCGTGGGCTGTTTCTTCAAATCTGGAACAAGCCTTTTAGATGGTTCCTCTTTGTCAGCTTTTTCAGGAGAAAATACAGAAGACATGTGTTCTTCCAGAACATTATGTTTTTCTACAACCTCAAGTGATACAGATTTTATTTCATCTTTATTTTCAATAATTTCATGAGTTTTGACTTCTTTTGTTATCGTGGTAATGACTTCCTCAATAGTTGCCGTGGGATGTTCCTTCAAATCTGAAACCAGTTTTTCAGATGGTTTTCCTTTGTCATCTTTTTCAGGTGAGATGACGGCAGATTACAGATGATTTTTCTTTGTCATCTTTTTCAGGTGAGATGACGGCAGATTTAATTTCTTTGAGAACAATATGTTTTTCTACGTCCTCAGGTGATTCGGATATTTTCTCATCTTTCTTTTCAATAACTTCAGAAGTTTCAACTTCTTTTGTTATTGATGTTATGACTTCCTCAAGCTGTTCTGTGCGCTGTTTCTCCAATTCTAGAACCAGTTTTTCCGATGGTTTTTCTTTGGCATCCTTTTCAGGTGAGACTACAGAAGATTTGGTTTCTTTGGGAACAATATGTTCATCTTTTTTTTCGATGATTTCAGGAGTTCTTTCTTCTTCAGTTATTGTTTTTATGACTTCCTTAACCTTTTTCCTGAGCTGTTTCTCCGAATATATAACCATTTTTTCAGATGTTTTTTCTTTATCAGCTTTTTCGGATGGGACTACAGCAGATTCAATTTTTTCCAGAATAAACAGTTTTTCTACGACCCCAGATGATTCAGGTTCTATTTCATCTTCCTTTTCCAAAACTTCAAGAGTTTTGACTTCTTTTGTTGTCGTGGTAATGACTTCCTCAACCTTTTCCGTAGGGTGTTTCTCCAAATCTGGAACCATTTCATCAGCTGATTTTTCTTTGTCATCTTTTTCAGGTGAAACGTAAACAATATGTTTTTTTACATCCTCAGGTGATTTGGGTATTTTCCCATATTTCTTTTCAATAACTTCGAAAGTTTTGACTGCTTTTGTTTTTGATATGACTTCCTCAACCTTTTCCGTGGGCTGTTCCTCCAAATCTGGGACCAGTTTTTCAGATGGTTCTTCTTTGTCAGCTTCTTCAGGTGAAACTACAGAAGATTCAGTTTGTTTCGAAACAATAAATGTTTCGTAGATACCAGGTGATTCAGGTTCTCTCTCATCTATTTTTTCGATGATTTCAAGAGTTTCAACTTCTTTTGTTATGGTTTTCACTTCCCCAACCTTTTTCGTGGCCTGTTTCTCCAAATCTAGAACCAGTTTTTCAAGTGGTTGTCTTTTGCCAGCTTCTTCAGGTGAGACTACAACAGATTCATTTTCCTTCGGAACAATATGTTTTTCGAAGACTTCAGGTGATTCATGTTTTTTCTCATCTTTCTTTTCAATGATTTCAAATGTTTTGACTTCTTTTGTTATCGTTGTTACCACTTCCTCAACCTTTCCCGAAGGCTGTTCCTCCAAATCTGTAACCTTTTTCTCAGATGGTTTTTCTTTGTCAGCTTTTTCTGGTGAGGCTACATCAGATATATTTTCTTTCGAGGCAATATGTTCGTCTGAGACTCCAGATAATTGATGTTCCCTTTCATCTTCCTTATCAATAACTTCGAATGGTTTATCTTTGCCAGATTTTTCAGGTGAGGCTATAACAGATATAGTTTCTTTCGGAACAATTTGTTTTTCTGAGACTTCAGGTGATTCAGGTTTCTGTTCGTCTGTTTTCTCAATATTTTCGAAGTTTCTGACTTCTTCCGTTAATATTGTGACTTCCTCAACTTCTACTTCGAGATGTTCTTTTGAATCTGGAACCATTTTTCCAGATATGTCATATGAAGATCCCGTTGCTTCTGAAGGTAACATTGTGATTAGTTGCCCTTCCGGTGTTGGCGTTAGGTCTGGTTTAAGTTCTTTCACATCTTCACGAATTTGTTTGGAAGCCTCCAAAACTTCTGACATAATTTTACGCACATCTTGTTCATTGGTTGGCACGTTAGCGTCGATTTCTTTCAGATTCAGTAACTTGGGTGACGTTTTCTCGCTGATACATACAGTATCTGCAGGTGATAATAAAACAGATAATTCTCTAGATTCCACTATAGCTGCAGGAAGCGCTATGGTGGAAACAAGTATGGCGTGAGAGACTATGGCTTCTTTTATAATCTCACTCTGTATGGGTGTTATTTCAGCTTCATTTTCGGCTTGGCTTGGATGGAGTTCATGAATATTCTGTTTGACACATGGTGTCTCAGACACTTCCATACTAGCGCCGCTTATACTCTCTATTATTTTTGTTTGGTCGTTCAATAATTTACAAACCTCTCTTGGCATTTGGAAAGATGAATCAGTTTCTACTTTTTGGTCACTTCCTTTGTAATATTCCTGATAAGCTTGTTCCTTCATTCCTGGAATTTTTTTGTCGATGCGAACTTTGACACAAACAGGTTCAACACACGTTCCATCAGACTGTTTATCCTTTTCTTCGATGTTCTGTATCATTTTTTTAATTTTTTTTGGTGCATCGATAATAACTTGTTCTTCTAGAGCCGTGAGGCATGCATTCAATTCCTCGGTGGTGAATTCCCTCTCTTTTGTTTCTACAAATTTATCAGGTGGTTTTTCTGTTGTGAGGGCTTGCATTAAATTTTCTGTTACGTGTTGTTCAATATGTCCCCTTCGATCTTCTAGAGGTTTTTTTATTTCTTCTATTGACTGTCTTCTGATTTTTCTTGTTGGAGTTGTTTCTTGTGATCTCGATATCAATTCTTCAAATATTGACTTCTTATCCTTGACAGATGTATATTTTTCTTCACTAGATTCTTTTTCTTCTTTTGAAAATTTTTCTTTGGGTTCCAATTTTTGAATAGATTTTTTCCTATCTGGTTTGAGCATAACTTTTTCTTCAATCTGAACCAAGGAATCTTTAGATGCTTCTGAAGACCATTTATTAACAGCTATATCTTCTTTCTCTTTAGGTTGTCCCTTGCTGGAAGTGTCTTCATCGAAGCTGCTCTCAGCTTCACTAGAAAAAATTTTCTGTAACTCCGCAATTTTTTTACCGACATGCTTAGTGTGACTAGGAGTTGAATATTTTGATTTGATATCTTCCGTATCTGAAAATGTTTCTTCTATCCTTTCTTTCACATGTTGTTCAGTAATAACTTCCATTTTGTATTCTTCATCGTCTAATTGAGCTAGAGTCTCAGTAGAACCCTTGAAATTTGCTTCTTCTTCTTTCATACTAGACATTTCATCTTCAGAATCAACCACATCTCTCTTTTTTCTGAAGTAATCTTTTTGTGGTGATTTACTCACTTGTTCCTCCAGCATTTTCACTCTAGCCTTGACATCCCCAGATCCCCGTCTTTTTGCTAGAATTTCTTCATCTTTGAGCTTTTCAGCAGATGATAGAGGTGGGCTTTCTTCTGGTTTTATAGGACTACAAGATGAATCTTTCATATCGATACGATCGGTAATGGTAGCAGCCTCAGATGTATCAACTTGGGATAAAGGAATAGATGAAGACTCTAAAAATTCTACTGGGCTGGTACCAGCATCAGTGAATTGTATTACAGACTCATCTATGACGTGATGTGAAAGCTCATCGACTTGAATTGGGCTGAGGCCCGCATCTGTACACTCAAGCTCTTCAATTTCTTCCTCCACGGCTGTATCAGAAATGAATCCCGTAGTCTGCAATCCCCCTAACGAACCTTGAGGTTGGTTAGCAGTGCTGGTGATACTACCCGTCGTCGGATCTCTTGTTAGTGATATACCCGTATCTGTTATGTGATGAGACAAGCTTTCGCTCAAAGGAGACACTGCCTGCGATAATGAGTTTTCGTCGTAAGTGTATATTTGTTTAGTACCACTGAAGTTCACCGTTTCTTCGCGTTTCTTCTGGGTGGACTCCAATACAGTCACTGGCGGTATTATATATTGTGGAGAGTGCTTCTCTCTACTTGCTGTCGTAGATATTCCAACATCAAATCTTTCAGATGTTTCAGTCCCCGAGTTATCTCTCCTAGTTGTTGTGACGCAAATATGTGATTGAGATTTTATAGAAATTTCTACGTCTTTAGTACCGTATAACGTTAAACGACTTTCAGCAGTTGCTAAGGCTTCTTTTGTGCGAACCTCTTTACGTCCGATGATGAGCTCTAAAGTTGGCTTCGATTCATCTTTCACAGTTGGAGGAGAATCATCTGGAGAAGGTGTGATACACGTATTGAGTTGTGGAGAGGTACTTCTATCCACATGTTTGTATTTATCGTATTTATGTTTTATGGTTGGTTTTGTCGAAAACTGATTGTTGTCATCAATTTTTTTTGCATCACTCGACTTTTGAACAATTTCTACAACGTCTTCTTCAGGACCTTTGGCTGCGACCTTTTTGATTTCCTTTTCAGCTGTCGAATACGCTATAGAAATTTTTTTGTCTGGAGTGGATTTCAAATTGATCTTTTCTTCAGAGGGCGGTATTTTATCTTTTCCGCCTCCACCTTGAAGTCTTTCCACATTTTTTCTTTCCTTTCTTTCCCAGTCCTCCGGCCGTTTTGAATCCTTAGCACCCTTTTCTTCCGGAGAAACAAAACTGTGGATATTCAATTGGCCGGGGCGAACCACGTCAGTCTCATTCAACTTAGAACTATCTAAACCTATATTCACAATTTCCGTTAACTCACTATCAGGTTCAATCGAAGGCAGTAAGTTAGAGGTAGAATCTATCACATCTGTATCTAGATCTTCGGTAGAAGCTAAACGTTTACGTTGTCCCGCAAAGAACTGGGACTGATATTGATAGTACTGACGGATGTTGTCATAAGAAGTCACTTCTTGTGACTCTATTTCTTTGGAAAGTGTAGTTGCATAGTCATTCAGATATTCCTGGGAAGACATACGTTTCTCGTCTGGTGTGGGTGTTTCTAAAATGCACTCGTCTTCGCGGAAGCCATCAGTATCCAAAGAATCGTCGTCGTCCTGAGGAGACGCACTTGCTGTCGCAGGGAAAAATAAAAGAGGGTGGATATTGGACTTTTTTCGAGTGTATATTGTGAAAATATCATTATATTGTGTTTGAGTGGTGCAACAGAATCCGTTATTTCAGAAAATAAATCATATTTGAGGCGCTGTGGTTTATCAACTTCCGCACATACAGAATGAAATGTATGATGTCTCAAATTGTGTAAAGTGTAGGTATGGAAGGGAGGAAGTGAAGGATTACGACAGCTATTTGTATTTATAAAAAGCCTGCTAAGGCATTCCGCATCTTCATAAGCGTCTACCATTTCACAACAATGAATCCGAAAAGCTATATTTTCTTTACGTCAAATTATGCCCAAACTAGTAGCGTTTATTCTTAGACTATCAACTAGGCAAAAATAAATTAAATGATAGATCCAAAGGAGAAATAATTTTAAAATGAAAACTATAATTTAATTTATTTTATTTTTTGAAGCAAACTAAAAATTTCACTGACCTTTTGTAGCCTTTGCTACGTGAAGCCCGAGGCCGCGTATGACCTAAAATCAACCCAACCCACAGGGACCCTTGGGAAATCAATTCATGAAGATGAAATCTCGATACTCTATAATTGATTTGAAAAGGGTATATGGGGGTCGAGTTGACGATTCCATGCGCACACAGAGTTTCATTTGGAGTTTCTAAGTCACTTTGTCCTGAACAGTATGGAGTTTGCAATAACGGTTGAACAAGCAAACATCTGAAGCAAATGACCGGGCGACAAGGTAGGGATAGGTTGTGATCCAACAGTTTGGTGAATGAGTCACCAAATTGATGGTATGGAAAAATGTTTTATTATCACACAAATTATGAAGTTGTTGGAAATGAATGAAGCGAAATGGAAGAGTTGCATAATCAATTCATCGCATGTTTCTTTTCTTTCTTGAAGAATGAATTCAAAATACAACGGCCATAGAACACAAACAAAGTAACTATTTATTGAATTTTGTTAATTGTCGAATTATGCAAGAATACTTTCATGATAAACATGAAAGAAAATTGCTTTCTTATACATGATTAATTTCGAAAGTTATTTTATTCATAATTAACGTGTATATTTTGTCAAGTGGTGAAGAGGGAACGTTATCCTATTCATCAAATTTATAACACATATTCGCAAACAGTCATACGAATTCTAGGTATATTAGGCAAGTTGAAACATAGAAAAAACATACCATATCTTCGTCACGGCGCAAGAATATTGAAATTATTATCGGCTAAATTTTTCATACCTGGTTCTGAACGTTGCGACAGTAAAACCAAATTTACCATTTGAGAAACATGATTGATTTTTTGGAAATTCCCGTTATTTTCAAATTACCTTTTGTTGTGTTGGCTGTCGAAGTTTTTACTATTTCTTTTGTAACAAAAGAAGTTTGCGAGGCTGAACCTAATATTACACGTACATTAATACTATTTCCATTTTCTGACACTAATGTTACCTGTGCCGTAGCTAATAATACCTGTCTTCTTGAGGGAGATATTAAACATATGTTTAGTGCATGTAAACGTCTGAGAAGAACTTAGAGAATTATTCTGAGAAGTACCTTGAGACGGAGTATGATAAGGACCTTGAGAAAGAGTTTGAGGTTGAGTTATTTCTTCTCTGTTACCCAAATGCTGATTTGACACAGAAGAATTTGTGGGTCTATATTTATGTAAACGAGTGTGATGCTTTCCCGCGCGAATTCTACATCTATCCCTTGAACACTGATAAACTTTTTACCGAAATAGTTGAAACATAAGCGTTTTTTTGAGACAGAGTCCTTTTTTGTCTGAAGAGGTACGCAAGCGAATTTTTTACATTTGTAAATCGTGTGACTATAACCTTTGCAATAAATACATTTTTGTTCATGGTCACCTTGATCAGTTGCCACATGAGAATGAGTTAGTGACGGAGCCTAATTTCATAACCTTGATTAGAAGATGGAGATTTCCATGCTATTACCCTTTTATCAAAAAAAGCAAGAAACTGTTAGAGAGTTGACAGAACCTTTTGATCCCTTACGAGTTCGAACTCGTTTCTTAAATTCCTATCCAATTTATTATTGAATATGTTAATTGATAGTAAATCCCAGTTATTAATGACCTTTACTGTGAGTGCCTCTGAACCATTAATATGTTGTCTTATTTGTCTCGTGAAATCGCGAAGCGATTTATAGCAGGCAATTTATAGCAGGCAATTTTTGCCTGCTATAAATCATTATGTACGCTATCTGTAAACAAATCAATGAATGTACGCCATTCTCCATAGTTTTCGCTGAAACATGAATTATTCGTACTTAGGAGTTGGATAGTTCCAGAGTTTTGTTGACTACTGTCCTAGGTATGTGCTACTGTTTGAAATTGTCAGATTTTCATTCAAAGTTTTCATTTTGCTATGCAGAGAGATATATTTAGTTTCGATTGCTTCCCTATCCTCACTCTGAAGAGTAACCTGTTCTAAATCGTTTTTGTCAATGGAGTTTTTCATTTCCCCTTGACAGTTTTCATATTCCGAGATAGCCTTTGCCAAGAGATTCTCGTATAGCGGTGGATGGCACATTAGGCGTTTTTGGTAAACCAAACAACGGTTCACTTTTAAAATTCAATGAAGAGAATATTCAGGCATTCTCTACCCAACTGAAATATTTTTGACAATGCGATGTTGCTACTTCCTTCAGGAAGTAGTATCAACTTTGATTTTTCACACGTATACACCCTGTATACAGTGTTATCCCTAAAGTGTGCACCATATGGAAAACTTATTTATTGAGGGTTTTTCAACAAAAAGTTATTCTTGATAAAAGTTGTGCATCCCCTAAAACTGAACATGAACTAATAAAATACATTAAAACACACGTAATATACAAGGATCCTTCAAATATTTGATTTTGAGGCAAGAGTAAAGTACTCTTATTTTGAAAAATCTCAGGAAACTTTATTGGGAAAAGTTGTTCAGCATTGAAAAATACATCTAGATTGGAAGTCATGGCCATCTGAGTGAAGTTTTATTTTTTTATTTTTTAAATAAGGACTATGAAAAATAAAGGTTGCTAAAACGATAAATAGACAGCATCCTGTGTACGAAGGTTCATTTTAAAAGCCTGTAATATTACGAATTACACAACTATGGTCTTAACCACGGTAATTTTTTTTTCGAAGAGTGAAATACTTTTCAATGTTTTCGGTACAAAGTTATTTTTATTTTTTGTTAACACCGAAAATTACTCAAAATCATACAGTATTGTAACGAGAACTTAATATTCAATAATATCAAATCAAAAAACATCAAAATAAAATAGATATTTTGGAACAAACTCATTGATTTTCTGAAGATTATTTTGGAGAATTATTTTGGACAGGAAAATCACCAGAAAATCAAAGAGTTTGTTCGGAAATATCTATTTTATTTTGATGTTTTGTGATATGATATTATTGAATATTAAGTTCTCGTTACAATCCTGTATCGCTTATTTCGTGGCATATTTGATTACTTTGGGATCCAAATAATCAAATGTTTGGTACTTTCTGAAAATTCATCTCTCGAACGCACGGGTGTTTTGTACTCTTTCTTTGAACATTACCCACATATAAAAATCTAATGGATTAAGATCGGGTGATCTCGCTGGCAAATTCCATGTTCACAGGCGCCTTATCCACCGATAGTCAAACAGTCTGTCCAATTCTGCGCTCACTTCTATTGTAAAAGTACAGGAGCTCCATCTAGTTGGTACCAACATTCCCGATATTCTTTGAGTAACAGATTATCGATGAAGCTCTGTACAGTATTCTTCAAAGTATCCAGGTAGATTCTGGAAGTTATCGATTCCTCGTATATGGCGTACCTCAATTTATTGTTTATTAACTTGCTGAAGACATCAAAACTATTTTTTTTTTGTAATCCAGCTTCTTTTGTGACGTGAGGATTTTCACTGAACCTATTATGATAATTTTTTCTATTGAAAATTCTGTAACGGGTTAAATTTCGGAACTCAGAAGAATGAGTCGAGCCGCCCTGTAGGTTCGTTATCAGAATATTCCTGGAATGGTGGGTTATCTAGTGAGCAGGAGTAAATAAAACGTATACGTTGGTTTTTTTCTCAAATGTTTGGGCTGGCGCAGTAAATGACAGGCTTATTGAACCCGACTTTTTTCAATCTTGACTGACAGGTGAAATTCATTAAGATTTTCTTCGACACAATATGCCAAAATTATTAGATGATGTTCCTATAAATTTGATACGGAATATGTGGTTCCTACATGATGGTGCTCTACCACATTTTACATGAATAGTTCATGAACATCTAAAAAGGGATTTTTCAAATAGATGCACAGGACACATCGACCCATTTCTAGGAACCCGACACTCTCCGGATTTATGGGCTTGCGTTTTTTTCTGTGGGGCTTTTTAAAACAGTAGAGAAGTGAATACTGTGGAAAAACAACAACGGAGCATTGGAAAATGCTTATGATTTCATTGGTGAGCACCATGATGTTATATCATGCAGTGTGGAGTCGCAAAAACGCGAATAATGTGGGAATAATCATAAATCATGGATATTTTTAATTTTCAAGAATCATATATTACTATTGACGTTTTGGCTGTACTTGTTCATCTTTCACTGCCAGAACCACTGTGCATGCTGTTTTTGGCGAGTGAATTGTCTTAGGATGTGGGGACTGAGCAAACCGGCCATCGGATGCCTGCTTCCACGTAGCCCCGCTAGATACGGGAGTGACAGAATCACTTGTGGTTCCTAACTGAATGGCATCCCAACGATGGCTCAATCCAAAGGTGTGTATCCGTGCCGAGAGGATGAATGACACTGAGCTGTCTCTACGGAATCTTCGATATACCAGGCGCCCTCTCGTCGTAGCATCGCCTTGTCACGGTAATGCGGGGCTCTGCCGTGATTGACCTTCTTTCCCTAGCTACTCGTGGGACATTTATGGACAGAGTAAACTTAAAAATTCTTTCTGACGCTGAGTCTAC